AAACTTCTATAAATATTTTTCTTAATTTTTTGATTAAATTTTCATTTGCATCAGTAAAAAACGGATACATATCTGTTTGGTAACAGTTCAAGATGTGTTGCACATGTCCATTCCACTTTACATATGAGACACCTACATACACCTAAGTGGGAGAACTTGTTTCCACAGCAGTAGCGCTCAGGGCAGCTCATGCGCCCTCTACCCACTCATGCACATATACAAGGGCAGAATGTGACTTCAATGTATAGGAGAAGGAGAGTGGGTCGTGCAATTGTCACTTGCAACTTAACTCAAAGAACAACAGTTACGAAACAAGTATGTAACCTTTTTTTTTTGTCTGAGTGCTCACACTTCCACTTTAGTTGATTCACAAGCAGTTCCAGATGGAAGGGGGTATCAGAGTCTACCTAAACAAGGACTGCAACACCACTCTCTCTAATCTAGCATCATCTCATGAGACCTGTTTATTGAGCATAATGAGTGATGAACATATTAATAGATGACCAACTTTGCGGCCCTGCAAACATCACTGATAGGAATGTAACCCATAAAGCCAATGCTGTTTACACTCTCATAGTATGCGCTAAAACTCCGAAGTAGTGGAATTTTAGCAATATTGTAGCACAGACTAATACAGGAGGAGATTCAGGAAGAAATCCTCTGCAAAGTGACAGGCTGCCTCTTCATCCGGTCAGCCAAGAAGATGAATAATTGCAGAGACAACCTAACTCTGTAGCCCTGTCCAGGTAAAAGACAAACACCCTATGAACATACACAGTATGGAGTTTTTCCACGTTTGTGAGAGGAAGGTTTCAGAAAAGAGGTTGGTAAGTATACAGGCTAATTTAGATGCAAGTCTACCACAATTTTAGTAAGAAATTTGGGATGTAGCCACAAACTAACTTTATCTTCATAAAGCACCGTATAAGGAGGTATAAGCAAAGCCTGAAGTTTTGCTACCCTTCTAGCCAAAAAAATAGCCACCAGAAATACTACTTTCATTGAGAGATGAGAAAACGAGGAGATAGTTATAGGTTCAAAAGGGGGCCCTATTAAAACCCACAGAACCAAAGTCAGATCCCAGGATGGTGTTGGGCCCTAACAGGTGGGAAAAACTTGTCCAAAATTTAAAAATCTAACAATCAGAGGGTTGGGAAAAAACAGATCTTCTTTCTACAGCAGATCAGATTGCAGAGGCAGCTGCCAGATGAACCCAGAAGGAACTGACAGAAAGTCCTTTTTCATTGAGGTGAAGCAAATAATCCAAAATCAGGTGAACTGAGCCTGTGAAGGGGCCACACAGAGAACCTCTTCCATTTCTTGAGGTAACTATAACTGATGGAGGGTTTTCTGCTATTTAAAGAACATTTTGCACCCCCAGGGAACAGACTGCTTCATGGGGAACTAACTATTGAGCATCCAAACAATCAAGTGTAGGCTAAGTGGGCTGGGAGGTAGTGTGCCCATGGTTCTGTGAAACCGTACCCGAGACCTCAGGGAGAGGTATAGTATCTCGAATCAAAAGGCTCAACAGGTTTGAGGACTAATGTTGGTGGAGCCAGGCAGATGCTCCAAAGAAGGAAGGAAGAGCTGACTGTCCAGGTGGATAGTTGGAAACGCTCATACATTTATGTGGAAAGGAGATCCTGACCTGACCAGAGACCCAGAGTCTGAAAGTCCCCTCGGTGAGCTCCCCAACTGAGACATGAAGCATCTGTGATTAGGGTCATGGAGGGCAAGGTTGGGGTAAAATGAATCCTATGGCACACACTGGCACAGTCCTTCCAGGGATGACCAAACACCTGCAGGTATGTGAGTCAGCATGTCCAGTGGATAATAAGAGGGATGGTAGAGAGACTTCAACCACCTCTGCATGACTCTGAAGTGACATATGGCATTGTGAGTTATATATGTACAAGCCACCATGTGACCTAGAGCTTTCAGGCAATTCCTCTATCGTACAGTATATGCCTTGAGGTTTTTGCATAGCTACAGTATCATCTGAAACCTGGCCTGAGGTAAATACACCAACTGCGGTCGAGCCAAGAACCTCTCCTATGAATTTGATTCTCTGTACATGGAAAAGAGCTGATTTGTCCTTGCTGGTCAACAGGCCCAACAAGTGGAAGACAAATTGGGTTTTCCCAATGGCCATTGTTACTTGTCTGGACTGACTTCGAACCAACCCGCTGTCCAGACATGGGTACACCTGGACCCCTGCCTTCCTGAGATGTGCCACAACCACTGCCATGCACTTTGTGAAGACTCAAAGGGCTGATGACAGGCTGAAAGGGAGAACCATAAACTGATAAACATCTGCTGCAACAAATCTAAAAAACCTTCAGTGGTTCTGGTGAATGGCCACATGGAACTAGGCATCCTTTAAAAATTGTAGTCTAGGGATGGGATAATAGATGACCAAGCTGCAACCCTGTAAACCAAGGAACGTAAACCAAGAAAGCAACCAATGCTACTTGCGCTCTTGTAGAGTGTGCTAAAATTCTGTGAGATAGTGGAGCTGCAGCAATGTCGTAGTACAGACAAATACAGGAGGAGATCCAGAAAGAAATCCTTTGTGAAATGATGTTAAAGTAACCACACAAAACTTCAGTTTTTATGTATCTGTTGTGGTTTGTAGGTCTAAAATAGGTTTGAGGCCTCCCTTGGACTTTGGAATGAGAAAATAGTGAGAACAGACTCCCTTCACCCAAGCACAGACTCCCTTCACCACTCATCCTAATTTCTTCTCCCTTTGGCAGCAGAGTTCTCAGCACAGTGGAACTGGAATATATACTGCAATTTACCTCTATTTCTCCCCCTCCCTATCCCTGTTCAGGGGCCATTCTCACAAGACTATATTAATTCAAGAAGTTCAGTCTGTTACAGTTAGGGGCAGTGGAAAAAGCATCCAAAGCTTTCCTCCTGAAGGAACCATACATCTGCCCTGCTGCACAATAGCACTTCCATACCCTGACAGTACTAACAAAGATTCAGTCCCACATGGCACTGAACATGCAGGTGGAGATGAAAGGTCTCAGTACTGAGGCCTCTGTGGTAAGAACAGTCGATTCCCGGACCACATCCTACGTCAGTGGTGAGGTCCAGCACCGATAGACACAGGAGATCCCTGGCCACTGTGTATGCCTCAGGCATCCTCTGTATAGAAGCTGATGCCTCTGAAGGTCCTGGCAATGGAGTAGGTCTCAATAATACCACTGCAGTCAATGACTCTACACTGTTAGAATGAGGTACTGGAAGGTCCTAGCAGGAGATGACTCTGCATTAACCTCAGTACTGGTCTTCATCTGGTGTTAGTCTGTTAGGTACCTAGCCCTCAAAGAGGAAGACTTTTTCTGCTGTTTGTGCAGTATCAGAGATAGAGAATAATATCTTCTCTTTGACTCTCTGTGATGTGGGGATGCCACCAAGAAGTATGGTGGTATGCTCTGAGATGGAGTCATGTTTGAATCCCACGTAACAAGAGGCTGGGTGGCACAAAGCTGCTTTCATCAGGATCTCTCTTACGTTGAACTTCTCTCAACTTCTTAGCCCTGGTCTTAAATCCACTACAGATGGTGCATTAATGCCTCAAGTGCCTTTCTCCCAAAGACTTTAAACAGTGGAGTGAGGATAGCTGACCGTCGTAGCTTTGTTACAGCCCCAACACCACCTAAATCCCACGGATTTAGGCATGCCCCAGTTTTGAGCTAAAACCTCAAAGGAAAAGAAGATAAGAACCAAGAATTTTTTCATGATGAGTACCACTAATGGAAATTATAACTACAACTGTACTAAACTAATTATTTACAATACAAAAACCTCAAGTTTTCCTAAACAGAAGAGGAAAGAGCTTGAGAAGTTCTCTCTCTCTCTCTCTCAGAACACACACACACACACACACACACACACACACCACCCGACAACTAGTCGACCACGAGGTGAGG